AAAAAAAAAAAACCTGGCCAGCACATCTCAAAAGGAAAGTGAAGTGTCAGACTTTTTGTTCACTTGTTACATAAGCCTGGAGAAATAAAAACATCCTCCTGCAATACAGAGTACACGAAAACATAAGATCTCAACAGCCTGGACACTTGCTTCCACATCAGTTACAGATCTTTCAAAATAATTTAACTTCATTTTATGTGCGTTGGTGTGAAGGTGTCAGACTCCCCTGGAACTGGGAGTTACAGAATTGTGAGCAGCCATGTGGATACTGGGAATTGAACCCAGGTTCTCTGTGAGCAGTCAGTGCTCTTAACCACTGAGTCAATTCTCGTCGAAAACACAACTTTACTAATGTCTGCTGAATCAAACACACCGGTGTATGTTAGTCTGTAAAATATGCCACGCAGCTTTTCGTTCTCCTCTGATGTCACAGACATCTGCTTTGATGATGTTTCTTTTTGTAAACTTCAGGTCCTTTAATGTGTCCTCAAATAAGATACTTTATGTTGAGACAATTGTTTTTAATAGTTATCAGTTCTGATTTCAGCGAACTATGTGAAAGAATTTCTATGAATTTTCTTTTGTAATCAAGCATCCATTACTATCCCAGATGTATATTCCTCATTCACTACTTATGAAAAATTTACTATGTGCAAAGCATTCATCCATGGCCTGGCAGAGTGCGTTTAAATACAAAGAATCAATAGTCATTCCCAATCAAGTGTAGGAACACTCTTGAGAAAGGGCACACAATGGCGAAAAATGTCATAAGGTAGGAAATACCCAACCGGTGAAACAAAAGGAGATGTCTACAGGAAAATATACTTTTTACAAGTAGTAGTTTAACTTTATACCCATGGTGCTGACTATAAGAGCAATTGTTCTGCATCCCGAAACTTTTCCCTGTCAGTATCTTCTATATTTTCACTGGAGAAAAAAAAAGATATTTCTGAATTTAGTCATTATGTCACTAAACTCACAATCAACCATATGAATTTTTTTCTTTTTTGGTTTTTTCGAGACAGGGTTTCTCTGTGGCTTTGGAGTCTGTCCTGGAACTAGCTCTGTAGACCAGGCTGGTCTGCCTCCTGAGTGCTGGGATTAAAGGCGTGCGCCACCATCGCCCGGCATTTTTTTTTAAATATTTATTTATTATGTATACAACTTTCTGCCTCCATTTATAGCCACACGCCAGAGGAGGGTGCCAGATCTCTTTACAGATGGTTGTGAGCCACCATGTGGTTGCTGGGAATTGAACTCAGGACCTTTGGAAGAGCAGGCAGTGCTCTTAACCACTGAGCCATCTNTGGTTGTGAGCCACCATGTGGTTGCTGGGAATTGAACTCAGGACCTTTGGAAGAGCAGGCAGTGCTCTTAACCACTGAGCCATCTCTCCAGCCCAACCATATGAATTTCATTTAAACCTTTGTTATACTTGTCTGACTATATATAATTTCAGTAGTACAGGTGAGAGATACTTGGGGACAAGGGGGGTCAATTCATCTATCTGAAGATGCAAATTAATAGCAATTGATATATGAGCAGGAACCATTTAAAAGTATTGCTGATGAGGACACGAAGGGAGGATGCTCCAATACAAAAGGCTTGCCCAGCCACAGCCACTAAAAGCCAGCAGAGGCTTCCTGGGCACAGAAATGCTGCATGGGCATGAGAACACACTGGGAAAGCTCTCCTCTGGACAGCACCATCTAAGAATGATGACAATGGAGCAAAGTAACCCATCAAACCTTGATCTTGCCATACATTATTATCCATCCGAAACCTGATACACAACAAACACTAAACAAACATGACTTGCTTTTATTTGACCTAAAGGAAAATAGACATTTCTGATTACTCTTAGTTGAAAACATTCTATACTAATAATCCTTCTTACCTCAAGCCTTCAGATAATCTCTTATCCAACAGTAATTTGAAACTTTAGATAGTTTTAAGGTTTTTTTTTTTTTTGCTTTGTTTTGTTTCTTGTTTGCCAACACAAGGTGTCTCTGTGTAGCCTTGGCAGTCCTGGAGCTTGCTAGGTAGACCAGATTGGCCTTGAACTCAGAGACCCACCTGCTTCCATCTCCCAAATCTTGGGATTAAAGATGTGCGCCACCACTGACCAGCCAAGGTTTGGGTTTATCTGTGTTGAGTGCTTACTCACAAGTATGCATATACACCGTGGTGTCCCTGGTACCAGAAGAAGCCAGAAGGTGATTCTGGAATCCCAGGAACTGAAGCTACCAGCAACTGTGACCACTTGATATAGGTGCTGGATCCAGACTCCTGTCCTCTTTAAGAGCAATACTTCTTATAACTGTAAGATGATCTCTCTTTTTCATTGTTTGCTTTTCGAAACAGGGTTTCTCAGTAGCTGTGGAACCAGTCCTGGAACTCACTCTGTAGACCAGGCTGGCCTAGAACTCAGAGATTCACCCGCCTCTTCCTCCCTAAATGATGAGATTAAAGGTGTGCACCACCACTGCCCAGTTATAACTGAAGATCTCATAACAGAAGAATCATCTCTCCAGCTCATCTCTAGCAATTTGATATTTTAAAAATGTTAAATATCAGCCAGGTAGAAGCAGATGGATCTCTGAGTTCAAGGCCAGCCTGGTCTACAAAGTGAGTTTCAGGACAGATAGGACCGTTGCACAAAGAAATCCTGCCTTGAAGGAAAAAAAAAATTAAAATAAATAAATGAATAAAAAGTTAAGTATCTATTTTATTAAACATTATCCTAATGTCTTAGTACTCATTCTTATAACTTTCCTAACAATAAAGAATATTATAGAGTATCATTTACATTATAGCCAACATAGAACACTTAGTCACACCTAATCCCAAATTACTTTTAAATATTTTTGGATGATGGGAAAAGGTAAGTCAAAGTATTTCCCAACTATGCAGATACTTAATCTGTTTGCTTCAAACAAAGGGAAACGGCTCTACTGATATGAGATTTCAAATGAAACTGCAAATAAGCAAATTTTGGAATGTAGGAGGCAGCACACAGGTGTGTATCCTGAAAGGAAACAATACCCCTCTCAAAGAGCAACTCCTTTTTTTTACTGTACATTACTGAGCAGAATTTCCAACTAAGTCAAAAGCTTTAGCCTCTAAATATACCTAAAATGGTTTGCTTATTGGTGTGACAATTTTCACAAAATTAATCAGAGATAAAATAAATCTTAAAGAAACCCAAGGCAAACCTGTTTTACAATGCGGCCCCACATCTGGGGTCAGACAGCTGAAATGTTTATTTCGCACTACAGAAATCAAAGTTGCCGGTAGGTAGTCATGTACAACAGAGAGTTTGGTTGACAAATTATACTTACATATGTTTTCTTAGGCATAATCAGCAGCAACTGGAATAATTCAGATTTATTTATGGGACAGTAAGGCTGAAAAATACCCAGAGTCCACTAGCTTTGTCTGGTACACGGAAGAACCACCCTAGCGCAACAGTTTCCAGGAGGGACGACTGATGAGGGCATCAGGAAAGTGGCTTTGACTGGTGAGAACCAAGTGTTCCACAGACAACTGTGTCTCCGAAATCCTTTTCTTTATATTCGGAATCTGTACTTTCTGGGTTATTTCTCCACCCAATCATATTTACCTGTTGGTCCTTCAGGTACCCAATACCTTTACATCTCAAATTCTCTGAATGCCATTGTTTGAAGACCAAAGTTCTCAGTATAGAAGTCTGAGGGAAGACAGGGAAAGGTAAAGAGAACAAAGCCACTTTGCCCGATCGCTGTCTAAACCCTAGAGCTTGTTGTGCTGTAGATACTAACATGCTTCTGTAGTGACACCTTTCTGATAAGAATATCAAAAGATTAAACTACATCAACAGACTCTGCCAGATGAACTGAAAATAGGATTTGTACCCTAACATTCCACTTGTATTAAAACATCAGTCTGCTGCTTAAGGACTTGTTTCCAGAACATCCGAATTTGCTGGGTTAACTTTAGCCAACTCCAATCTTTACATTTAATCATTTTACTATAAAAACAAAGTTCAAGATATTTAAGGTTCATGAACTTCTTGGGTCAAGCTGAAGATAAATCTTCTGTTTTAGATAAAACAGATTGCACTGGCTACTGGACCTGACGTCACTGGGTAACCCTAAAATTGCCTCAAAAGTTCCAGCTGTATGCCCTTGGTAAGGTAGGGTGACAACTCTGTGTGCTTTGTATCTCTTTTCATCCAAACTCGCAAAGATTTTAACTATCCAATAAAGGTACATAATTTAAAACATTCTACAGAAATAACATTACCAGTAATTTACAATAAAAAAAAATCAGCCACGAAAAAGCCAAAGCTAAAAACAAGATTTTTACTATGAATCAGTGCTTCTATTAACCTTCTGAAAGAAGTGATATTTTAATGTGATGTAAAGGCAACATTGAAAGTTCATCTTTAAATTAACCACCTAATTTATCCCTAAAATTACAAAGAATCAGTCTTGTACAGGTCAAGTTCAGTAAACTAACATGTTCTCTCAGCACAAAGCAGCACTAGAAAACAACAGGACAGATGGGAGCTGACTAGTTTTGTAGTGCCTGCTCCATCAGTGACAGACATCAGAAGATATCCATCCCAGAGCACAGACACATTTAAAGACTAGGGCAAGAATGCATCACACTCTTAGCTGATAAATGTCCTTTGACTCTGGAACTTCCTAGTTTGAATGAAATGAATTTATCAAAGTAAATAGGGTCATGTAAATTGGCTGCTTAAATAACATCATGATGAGGTATGGAAGTTCTAAATATCCCTTACATTCAGCAGGATTCACCAGAGATGTGCAACAGCTTGTCAGGGGCAACTCCCAGATAGCTTCTATACTTTGGGGTTACAATGAGTTCTAGAAGAGTAGTCTAAAAAGATTTAGAAGGGTATGCTCTGAAACAGACGTGAGCATCTTTTCCTTCAGAATTCATTTTGAACAGAACATCATCAAGGAAAGCTCTTCTCTGATAGTGTGTCCCAACATTGAGCCAAAATGGCCAACTAGCACCGAGAAGTCGCATTGAACTCGTTTGCAGTTCTCTTGGCAATTAAGCTTTCTTTGTTTTTTTCCCCTTCTAGTCCAAGCACAAATGTGGATCAGTGAACACAGTACTGGAAGCGCCATTTGCAGGTACATTACAGTCATCATTAAATAAGCAGGAGGTGGGCACTGTTTTTACTTGGGGAGGTAGGGTAATTATAGTAGGAGATGAAATAAAACCAGGGAACGCTGAGGTTTTTAGAAAAAGATCACTGCCCTTTTAGTCTAGAGGTCATATTGAGGAGACTGCTACGCTTCTAAAGATAAGGTTGCTGCATTGCAGGATCATGTATGCAGCATGAATGCATTAGAATCGAGCTGCACTTGACCAAGGAAAAAAAGTCCCTAAGTAACATTTATATCTGTGTTATCTGCCAGTCACATAGAGGAAAAGCACCTAGGGTGAACTCCAATTACCAGGACCTTGATCAGGACCACAAAGCCTGAGTATCTTTTTTAATGCAGAAACACAGCCTCTCGTCACACTGGTTTAGAAAAAGTGATGGGTTCTGTGTTCTTCTGACTCCTTAATCGAATTTTAGAACATGGTTTTGCTAAGGACTTTTATCTTCATACCGGTGTTAAAACTCAACTACTTCCAAATCCTAAGAGACATAAAACCAAAGAGAAGCCATACACATTAATCTGTGCTCCTCTCCTTTCTGCTTTAAGGGAATCTGCCAAGTCAGTATCACATTTAAAAGTCAGAGTGTTAATTCTTCAGCATTCCTGACAACTAGAAGCACATTCACTGAAGGCTGAAGGTGAGGGAGGGATGGTTTAACTTTAATATCTGAAGAATGACTCCATTAGAGGAAAGAAAACCATCCCATCTCAATAAGGATTAATGCAAATTTGGCTAGAAAAAGCCACCAGGTACTCCAAGGGTGGGTTCACTGAGGAAGAACTCGAGAAGAGTACTCTGATGTATACACAAGTCTAAGTATCTCCCTTGTCCAAGCAGTTGTGTAAAATTCAAGATAAAGGTTTTAGTTTTATCTTTTAATGTCATTTTCCCCACTTTACGGAATGAGGGAAGAGTCCTCTTTTTTCCCCCACAAAAAAGGGAGCCACAAATATATGTGTATATATTCCCATGACTCTAATATAAGTGCGGATCTCCAAAGCTTAGGGATTTTTCCATAAGAGAGTGGGCCGTTCTGGTTACCCTTGTAATAAAAGGGTATTCCACCACAGAGAGCCAGAGGTTTTCCAGATGTGTGTAAGAGAGCAGGTGCGCAAGGCAAGCAAATGAGCGCAAACAGTATTATGGAAAACATTTGAGAAATTAGCTCCATGAGGACTGTGGGCTCCACAAGAGGACTTGACTGGGTAGCCTGGTCTGACACAGGAACAAGAAAGCAGAGGATTGCTTCAAAGCTGGAAACCTTCCATAGGAGCCTCACACTGCTGGAAGATGTACTGCTGCTGGCTAAGGTCAACCTGGGGAGTGATGCTGCTGTCCTCATCTTCGGTCCCAAAGTAATGCTCAATAAGATCAAAGGCCTTTTGATAGATCTCCTGGTTTTCATGACTCTGCAAGAACTCTATTTTATCCAGACCTAAAATGAAGAATAAAAAATTGTTCTTGAAAATCCCAGTAACTACATTTTCAAATCTACTTTGATGTAAACATTCTCACATTATCTTGTATTGCACAGCTGTACAGAAGTGATTACTACTATTACATCTGAATGTTAATATTATAAATTAACATCTTAGTAACAATTTCTCTAACAGTCACTTTATCACCCAGTACCTACTATAGTTACGTCTTTTGATGACTATGTCTATTTCCTAAATCTTAGCCAGAAGCTGCTCCAGTCAAAGCATCTTACCATATGCTTCTTCAATCAAAGCACAGTAAGGGTTAATGCCTGAGCCATTTCTTTTGGCTTCTTGTTCTCCAAGCCTCAGGATGTTTTCCAAGCCATTGAGGGCAACCTGTACAATCTTTGAGTCCATGACAGTGAGGAGATCACAGAGTGGCTTGATACAACCAAGTTCTACTAGGTACCTGAATCAATAAAAAAAGCACAATTTAGTAATAAAAAATAATTCTGTTAGACTTTCATCAAACTGTGAAGCATCATCTTCATGCTTATAGAAATAAAAATAAACTGTCAACTATAGTACTTTAGGGCGGAAAGAATTTATTTGGCTTACACATCCCGATTATAGCCCATTACTGAGGGAGACTACTTTAGGATGCTTCTGCACACTATAAATATGTATTGTTTGTTTCCACTGGTTAACATTAAAAGCTGTTTGACCAATGCATAGTGAGGCAGGACAGGGTTAGGAAGAACAATCAAACTGAGGACTCAGGTGGGGAGGAAGGAATAGAGAGAGAGACACAAGCCCGCCCAAGAAACAACGTGCCAGCAGACCAGTAAAAGTCATAGCCACACGACAATACATAGATTAACATGCATTAACACATATTAATAATTAATTAAAATGGGTTAAATTAAATATAAGAGCTAGTTAGTAATAGGCCTGAACTACAGGCCAAAAAGTTTGAAATTAATAAAATTTTTGTGTGATTAGGACATGAAAGTGCTGACTCTGTTTGAAGGAGACCTCAAGCAGGGCCACAGACCACTTACAGCTGGCTTTTACCCTACCTCCCAGGACCACAGTAGGCTGGACCCTCCCCCATCAATCTTAAATTAATCAAGAAAATGCTCCACAGGTTTGCCTATAGACCAAGGCAATGGAAGCATTATTTCAACTATCTTTTTTTTTTTTTTTTTTGGTTTTT